CATTCTGTCGGATGTCTTTTGGTTTTGTTGACTTGTTTCCTTTGCTGTGCAAAAGCTTTTTATCTTGATGAAGTCCCAATGTTCACTTTTGCCCTTGCCTCCCTTGCCTTTGGCGATGTTTCTTGGAAGAAGTTGCTGCGGCTGAGGTCGAAGAGGTTGCTGCCTGTGTTCTCCTTTGGGATTTTGATGGACTCCTGTCTCACATTTAGGTCTTTATAAACTGAGTGTTAATGTCTAAAAAGCTTATTGAAATTTTGGAGTTTAATAAAGTTTCAAACACTATAAATTAGTGTAGTAAACATGTTTGGTAAGTTTTTCAGAAGTCTATGAAGAGAGTAGTAACTAATTTTTCAAAATTCCTATTTTATTAAAACTTGTCTGGGGGCACCTGGGTGGCTCAATGGGTTAAGGATCTGCCTTTGGCTCAATTCATGATCCCAGAGTCCTGGGATCAAGCCCCACATCAGGCTCCCTGCTCAATGGGGAGCCTGCTTCTCCCTCTCCTGCTCACCCTAACTTTGCTCTCTCTCTCTGTCAAATAAACAAAATCTTTAAAAACAGGGGCACCTGGGTGACTCAGTCAGTTGGGCATCTGCCTTTGGCTCAGTTCATGATCCCGGGATCCTGGGATCAAGCCCCGCGTCAGGCTCCCTGATCAGTGGGAGGCCTGCTTTTCCCTCTCCCTCTGCCTGCCACTCCCCCTGCTTGTGTTCTCTCTTTCTGTCAAATAAATAAAATATTAAAAATAAATAAAGTCTTTAAAAACAAACAACAAAAACTTGTCTGTATTATTTCAAGAATGGCCTTTTTTTTGAGAGAGAGAGAGAGAGTGTGCGTGCACGCGTGCACACAAGTGGGGGAAGGGGCAGAGGGAGAGAATCCTCAAGCAGACTCCCCACTGAGCACGGGAGCCCTGAGATCTGACCTGAGCTGAAATCAGAAGTTGGATGCTTGACCAACTGGAGCCACCCAGGCACCCCTAACATATTTTATTTTTAAATAATACTAGTTTTTAATTTGTGAAAAATTATTTTGTGAAAACCAAAGAAGAAAACATTTAAAAAAATCGTAAATTTTAATTTAAAAAATTATGATACCGCCATTTCAAATTTTACACTCTTAAGGAAATAAAGAAGCTAAAAGAGCATTGTCACTGGCTCTAAGAAAGAGAAATAATATTTCATAAAAATTCTTTCAGGAAACAAGAAAAAAAAAATCGGTATTTCACTACATTCCAAAGCTTCATTTAACACAACTCTAGGTACCTTCCTGTGCTCATCCTTATATATGTCAAAGATAATACCTCTTTCAAAATACCATTAAAGTTGATATGTTCTTTCTCATAACTAAATTACCTACAATCAATTTACCTGTCACATCAGGTAGCTGAGATATTCCTCTCAATGCCAGTGCCCAGGCAAGTCTAACAGTGGCTTGCAGCCCAGGGAGTTTCCAAAGCTGTGAGTCTTGAAGGCGGGAGTGAACTGTTGCGATGTACTGTCTTTCTGTCAACAGTGGAAGTTGATGAATCATATCTGAAAACACAAATATAGACCACTATACCAAAAAGTAGAAAAATTCTCACTTTTGATATACAGGAGTAATGTCTAAAAATCAGAAAATCAGAGTACTCTTATCAAATAACTGTGGACTAATTAACATTAATGTTTGACAAACCAAAAACAAAATCACCACCACAAAAATTATATGCAAACAAACTGAAAGAGGCAATCGACAACAATTCTAAATTTTAATGCTATTTTTTTCAATTTTTTTAAATAAGCTTACTATAAAAAATTTTAAAAATAGTTAAAGAGTCACTCATTTTTTCCTGTATATAAATTCTAAAATATATCAGGGCGCCTGGCTGGCTCAACCGGTTGAGCGTGTGACTCTTGATCTTGGGGTTCTAAGTTCAAGCTCCACATTGGGTGTAGAGATTACTTAAAAATAAAATCTTTAGGGGTGCCTGGGTGGCTCAGTCGGTTAAGCATCCGACTCTTCATTTTGGCTCGGTCATGATCTCAGAGTCATGAGATTGAGGCCTGTGTCAGGCTCCATGGAGCCTACTTAGGATTCCCTCTCTCTTCCTCTCCCTCTGCCCCCACCCCACTGCTTGTGCATTCTCTCTCTCTAAAAAAATAAAATATAAATCTTTTAAAAAATAAATTAAAAAAATATATAAATCAATGCCATTTAAAGATCAAAAAAGATATAATTTGGGGCGCCTGGCTGGCTCAGTTGCTGGAGTGTATGACTCTTGATCTTGGGGTTGTGAGTTCGAGCCCCATGTTGGGTGTAGAGGTTACTTAAAAATAAAATCTTTAAAAAAAAAAAAAAGAATTTCATTAGATAAATAAATGCCTGAATTTAAAATATCAAGCAAAAACTGGCCAAAACAAAGGATCCAAATTGCAAACAAGTATCTACTCTGATTATAACAAATGAAATTGCTAAATAATACTATTTTTCAATTTACAGTTCTATTATACTATGGTACTTCAAACAAGCACAGGATTCTGAATAAATACTAAAATGGGAAACACCACTAACACCTAAGAATTCATTTATTTTACTTCATTATTTTCTTGTACTTCCTTTTGATGTCAGTGGTTCCCAACCTTTAACCAAGAACACATTCTTTAATTTCCTGTGTTTTAAAAGTTTCCATCTACTACTATGCATGTATTACTAATTCACTTCTCCCATTTATTAATCAAACATATACAGAACAACCAACAAGAAATTACAATCAAAATGAGTTAATTAATATAAGCATCCTAAATTTATAAAATTACAGCCTAATACAAAACCTTCCATTTTAGCCTATGAAACCTTCCAGGCATTTCATTTTGCTTTTGGAAGTCCCACTTACAAGCTTCCATGAACACAGTCTGCCCCTACTTAATTCTGTGCTTTACTTCATTCAAGACAGGAAATCTGACGAATGCAGTAACGGGCAGCATTCCTAGATGAGCACAGGTAGCACTTATTCTGTGACACGCAAAGCACTGTGTGACAATTTGACTGGAGGAAAGGGCTACTTATGTTTTCCATAAGCCTTTCCTAATGCCTAAAGATGGTCACCAAACATGAGTGGAAAATGTCTATCCTCTTTACATACCTACTGAGAGAACATGCCGATGACACGATCAAAAGTGGACAGAGGTAATGATGTAATGTATGGTGATTAACATAACATAATAAAGGGCGCCTGGGTGGCTCAGTTGGTTAAGCGACTGCCTTCGGCTCAGGTCATGATCCTGGAGTCCCAGGATCGAGTCCCGCATCGGGCTCCCTGCTCAGCAGGGAGTCTGCTTCTCCCTCTGACCCTCCTCCCTCTCATGCTCTCTGTCTCTCATTCTCTCTCTCTCAAATAAATAAAAATAAAATCTTTAAAAAAAATAAATAAATAACATAATAAAAAAAAAAGTGGACAGAGGATAACTGTTCAAGTAAGTATAAATATCTATGCTGTTAAAAGGCAATAATCTTCCAATAATCTTCGGGAATCATTTTTGAGATCCTCATTTCTAAGCAGTAGTGTATGAGGTTACCAAGTAAAAATATTACCTACTTCAGAGAAAATATAAATTAGAGAGAATATATTACTAAAAATGATAGTTATCCTCCCTTAGAATGTTTTCATGAAAGGTTTGAAATGTGAATAATTAATATAAAGAAACAAGCAATTGATTGTGCATGCAGAACTCATGAACATGTATTACATAACTTTTACCACTTTCCTATTCCAAAATCGAAAAGGACAATAGAGATATCTAACAGGGTACATATTTTTAAAAGGTGATCTTTATCTTGGGCGCCTGGGTGGCTCAGTTGGTTAAGCGACTGACTGCCTTCGGCTCAGGTCATGATCCTGGAGTCCCGGGATCGAGTCCTGCATCGGGCTCCCTGCTCGGCAGGGGGTCTGCTTCTCCCTCTGACCCTCCTCCCTCTCATGCTCTCTCTCATTCTCTCTGTCTCAAATAAATAAATAAAATCTTTAAAAAAATAAAAAATAAATAAATAAATAAATAAAAGGTGATCTTTATCTAAATATTCAAATATTGATGAATTACACACACAGGAAAAAAATACAAGAATAAAATATACAATTTTTTATTTTAGTAGTTAAAATATTGCCCTTCTGAGGTGTAACCTCCAAAATTTAATCTGATTTTTTTAAATAAAGACATTAATAGGTATAAAATTCAATACCATCTCTTTCCTCTGTGCTTTGTTCTACAAAACTGATATCAAAGCAGTACAGAAGAGCCATAAGAAGAGCCAGATTCACGGCATCCAACGAGCCATTAGCCTCAACTGTCACTTTTTCCAAATGTCCAATAAGAAGCAGAGTGTCATCTTTGCCTAAAGGTGACTGACAAGCCCAGGCAAAAAGGCTTTCTGCCAGAGACTGCCTGCACTCCTTGATGAGATCAGAAACCTAGAGATAAAAATGTATGATCATCAGTATACATAAATCACAGTGAAGCCTCGTCTTATTCCAAAAAGTAAACCACCTTTTACAAAGCTAACTAACTAAATAAATCTATCTGAATCCACAAGTAACCCTAAAATCTCACCTCTAGAATTCTAAACAAACCCTACTGTTAATTCCTCATTTTAAGTTCCAAGCTCCTTTATGTAATGAAGGAGGTTGGAACTTACATAATTCCTTGGAACTTCATGTAATTCCTTCAAGAGTTCATTCCAGAAAAAGAGCTACAAAAGCACATAAGTGACTAGAAAGAAGTGAAAACAGCTGAAAGTCAATTTTGGATAGAGATGCCTATACATTTCAATGGACATTAGCAATTTTCCTATGCCTGTGTTAGAATGTTCTAAATGCCATGACTTTTCTGCCTGAGAAACGACACAGACGACCCATGAACTGATCTCATTGAACCCTTGCCTCTTTTCGGTGTTTTTCACTGCCCAAACCTCTCTCCCGCTGTAGTTTCTCAAACTCATTGTTCACATCAATCTGTGACACCAGAGTAAGGACTTTATAAGTCAATCCTTGCTCCATCAGCTCCTCTGTAAAGCGGGTTGTCATGGAAACCAGCTCTGGACTGTAATGAAAAGAAATCAATGGAGAAAGTTACAATGAACAGTCACGTCTACACTTCATCATACAGATACAGCAAGTGGTCTTGACAATAATGTTTCATTACTGGAAAAAAAACAGGATGAATTGTAACTCAGCTCTTTTCATCCTTGCTAGGTAATTAGGCGTCAATAAACTTCTAACCATAAATAATTATTTTTTATTTGTAAACAAAACAAAGCAGCTTTGTCATTCTTTGCAGAATACTCAGTTATGTTACATATTTTACTTAAATTATACATACTAAAAGGAGAAATTTTTGTTATTTCTAATAATTAAAATAACAATTTGACAAGTAATTTCCAAAAACGCCCTGAAATCCAAAGAAGCAAACAGACCTGAGTTCAAGGGTCCATGTTTTTCCTCGTCTGGACTGTATCAAGGCTTTCAGGGAGTTTGCAATGCACCGTTTTCCATCCCAGTATAAAAGAACAGCTACTAATCCTCTGGTGAGACCAGGAAAATGTGGCTGTTGGTGCTCTCCTAGATAGGGGAGTTGAGAAGTAATTTAGTAAATATGTGTTTAGGAGGAGACAAAAAATTACTATACCAATGTTCAGTTCAAAGAAATCACAGAATCTCAGGGTTCAAGGGGTCCTCCGGTCCTCTACTCGAAACACCCATCTGCTGTTTTCCTCCTCCCACATCCTCAAGAGGCCATCCAATTTGTGCTGGAACACCAGCACTCACATGGAACTCACCATTTCCCAAACTCTCAACCTCACCTTTATCCACGATTTCCACATGCTGGTCTCACTGCGGTCCACTAAGTCTAATAATATTTAATGCCCATTTCCCCCTCTTTCACATGAAGTCTTTCAAATGTTTAGAAGTTTCTTCCCCTAGAGTTTTCTCTGAAAAGTAAATAACCCAATTCCTATGTTTCTAGTTCAGTCACCCTTTCAACTGCTCTCCTTTGAATAAGTTCCACTTTTGTTTTTTTTAGTTTTGGTTTAATTTCCTAAGGCTGGTTGTCTTCTCCCCGAAGTCCAATCACTCCACTCTCTCCTGTCCCCAAATTCATCTTGCGGCTCACACCTCTGCACAGGCCATTCCTCGTACCTGGACGCCTTTTGTCCTCCTGAGTGCACACCTATTCTATGTGACATGTGCCTACTCGTATTTCAACACCTAGTTCAGGCCTCATGAGCTTTGTGAAGACTTCTCTGTACACCCTGAGGTCACTTTAATCCCTTTGCCTCTGGACCATCACTAAATCTTGCATAAACTGGCATTAATGCACTTTAATGTATAATTACCTGTCTCCGTATTTTTCTCAATTACTAGACTATGAGCTCCTTTACACTAGTTGAAGTTTGTTCGTGTTTCTATCCCTGGAGTCTTACCACAGTGCCTGGCCCATGATAAAAATAAAATAAAATAAATGTTTGTTAAATGCAAGTTCTGAGTTAAACTAAAAACTCAAAGCCTATCCAGTTAACATTTCCACAATAGAGTGGGAAAACTACCTTCCTACTTCTCAGTATTATACTTCTTTTAATGCAGCCTTAGGTCAAAAAGGATTTTGGAAGCCACGTGATATCTTTAAACATAGGAGACTTTCTTGGGGCACCTGGGCAGCTCAGTCAGTTAAGTGCCCAACTCAGGTTTCGGCTCAGGTCGTGATCTCATGGATCATGGGATCAAGCCTCTCCTGGGGCTCCGTGCTCAGTGCGGGGTCTGCTTGAGATTCTCTCCCTCTGTCTGCCCCTCCCCCCACTCGCGTGCACACTCTCTCTCTTTATATGTAACTATTCTGCTTAATGCCCCTGTCAGCAACTTCCCATTGCAAAATAAAATCCAAGTAATTTTCTTTGCCTGCAAGACTAAATATACTCAGATTCCTGCTCTCTTCCTTAACTTCCCTCACCCTCCCCCATCTTTGTGAGGCGCCTGCATCTTTTTACCCATGGTCTCATTATTCTTTAGTGTGCCTTTGGCCTCACCTCAAGCACTTGCTGTTTGCTCTGCCTGGGTCACCCTTCTCCAACAACTCTGGCACCTTGTCATCATGCAGGTCTCAGGTCAAATGTCCCAGAGAAGCCTTCCTTAAGTATCCTATTTAGAGTTGCCCCCTAAAAGCCCCCATCTCTCTGTATCACATAGTTTTATTTTCTTCCTCATACTCAGTATTACTAAAATTATCTTATTTCTAACCTATTATCTGAATCACCTCCTCAAAAAGAACTCCAAAAAAGCGGTGAACTTACTTTCTTACTCATTACATGACAATAAATTCTTTGTGCTATAAAATTTGTGAGATGCTGCCAATGATTCTTTGCTAGTAAATTACCATGTAAAAGCCTATTTTAAAACAGTTAAATTACCTTTAACAATTCCAATCACTAAAGCCCTCCCATTAATCAAAGATAAACAGAAGGAGATATTTTGAGTATGGTATTTCAACTAAACTACTTTGGAATCTGAATGATACAACCTTTTAAACCCTGAGGGAATGACTTTATAATTCTGTACTATCTTACCACAGATTCACTTAAATGTCAACCTACCAGCAAGGAGAAGCTCAACAGCTGCCAATTCTCCAATATCAAAAAGGTCACTAAGGATAAAGGCCTCTTTAATGAGCTGTTCAGGAAGAAGTCGGGTTCCCTGTTGACCCTGGATAGCGACTCCCTCTGTACTGGCTTTCTGAACCTTCTCGTGTTGTTGGACATTTTTTGGCTACAATGGTAAAAATAAATAAAATCATGGAATGAAAATAGTATACTGGAGACAAGGTCTTAAATTATTACCTAGAGAAGTTAATTCATGATAAGGCAGACAGGTAACATGATGGAAGAAGTACTGCTTATCAGACAATCTACAATTAGACCTTTATGACATGACACTTCCTATTACCTTCAACACTTATGCTGTTACTATCTTCTCAATAACTGCTTCTGCTAAACTCTGAAATACAAAATGTTGAGAAAGCACACAAAACAGTACACTATTTTTCAAATTTGTAAGGAACGTTTCTAATTATATATTTCATAAATAAAAACATAAGGCCTGCAAGTGGGAAATAACAAATGGATATATGAATTGTTGAATCAGTTAGGAGGACTAAGGATAGTTTGTTAATATATTATGTAAAATGCAGTCTTATTCACAAAAGTCTTACTTGATTCAAATATTTAACAAATGACATACAGTATAGAATTACTTGATGGATCATAAAATTTCAGAAATTTACATTTTATAAAAGGCCACATCGGTCATTTAATCCAACTCTACTATTAGCAGATGGAAAAGCAGGCGCCTGGGTGAGGCAGTCAGTTAAGCGTCCAACTCTTAGTTTCGGCTCAGGTTGCAATCTCAGGGTCATGAGATCAAGCTCTGCACTGCGCTCCACCCTTAGTGTGGATCTACTTCAGATTCTCTCTCCCCCTCCTTCTGCCCCTCCTGCTCCTGCTTACTCGCTCGCTCTCTCTCTATAAAAAAAATTAAATCTTTGAAAAAAAAAAACAAACCAAACAGATGGAAAAGCTAATGCCCAGATAAGTCAGGTGACATCCCTGTGCACATACAACTCTAGTGGTAGAGCCAAGATTGGAACTCAGCTCAACTGGCTTCCAGGCTACAGCTCTTTCTACTAAAGACAGCAAGGGAAAAAAATAAAAATAAAAAAGCTAAAAAGCAAAAGGCCATTTCTGGTAAGACAAACAGTTCTTAGATAGTCTTGTTAGTCTATAAGAGAAAATTATCAAACAGCAAGAAAAGGAATTTCCAAATATAAATTCCCTCCACTGAAGTACTCAATTCCTGGTTGAAAAGGATTTCAAGATGCAGTGATTAATGACACGCAAGAATAAATTAGTTCAGCTAATACAACTTACATAACATTATGAAGAGTTAAAATGTTGAAAATGTACCTGGAAATAAACAAAATAATCAATCTTACTGAGCTTAGATATATTAACTAACGGTCAGAAATTCCAAGGAGGCTCATATTTCTGGAACATACTAAATCTTCTACATCACATTCAAATATTACTAAGATATCTCCTGGCTAGAGATTATAGTATTAGCATCTGTGGAGAACAGAAAGGTAAGAAAGGTAATAACTGCTTCTAGGAAAAATTACACTCGTAAAGAAAACTTGAGTCAAGGACTAGGACAAGTAGTATATTTCATTCACATGCATTAAAAACGTAGTTGCTCTCTAATCTTTAAAAAAAAAAACATATCCAAGAAGCAAAAAAGAAAATTTCCTACTGGGTTTCTGAACAATGAGATGAAGTCAGGTTTGTGTTTCTTCAAAATCATGTCAAGAAGGTGGACAGCTTCAGGTTGTCTTCTCCAAAGAGCATTTCCCACTGTTTGCCAAATGTCTTTGTAAGGACCCCAGAGGCTGGCAGCTTCAAGAAAAAACAAATAAAACAAGCATCAGGTAAAACATATGTGTGGAAAATAACATTAGGTTACTGTCCACACATTTCAGTCATGCTCACCATACCTACTTCAAAATATACAGGGTTATACCTACAAACCAAACATTAATATAAAAGCATACATATCAGGTTTCTCAAGTGACAATAAAAACATTATTTTATTTAACTTAATATAACATAAAGTGAATCCTAACTTTAAACTGGAATATCTGCTATGGTTTTGCCACTTTTTTAGATGTGTGACATGGAGCAAGGAAATAACCTCTTAAACTTCAGTTTCTGTGCATAAGTAATAGAGAAATCATCTATATCATAGGGTTGGATTGATTCAATGATATAAACCAGGTGAGACACAAGACAGTGCCTGGCATACTGCAGGCACTCAGTAAATGTAGGTGCTTCCTATCCTCCCCACCATCCAAATAAAAGCAGGAGCAGGGGCAAAAGATTAGATTTTGTAAAACTTAGCAGCTGAAAAAAAGCACTTTATTGTGGCTGGGACACTAGCTATTAAAAATCAACATAGAAATATGGAACACTTCTATAAATTTATATAAAAAGGATCACATTTTGATTTGTAAAAGTAATAACAGTAAGTAATACTGAGCTTTTGCTATGGTTCTAAGCTCTTCACACATATTATTTTATTTCAGAACACTATGAGGTCAGCACTATGTCTTCCTCCATTTTATAGATACGGAAACTGAGGCAGAGAGGTCAAGAAACTCACCCAAGGCCACACTGGATAGGTGAGTCATGAACCCAGGCAGTTTCTCATCAGAATGTGCCTTAACTGCTAAACTATATTGTCTCTATACATAATACTTGAAAAACGAAAATGTTTGGGATAAATACAGGTATTTCTGACATATCTATTAAGTGAAGAAATTAAGATCACATCTAGACATACCTAGGCAAATTCAACTAAACTCAGCCAAATTCACTTATCTAAAAATGTTTTAAGCCCTTAACAATAAAATATTACAGAGGATAAGAGAAACAATCTGGTCTTTAAAAACTCACATCAAGTTTTGGAGACAAAGCATACTTCAGTGAAAAATTTTAGTAACAATACAAAAAAGGGAACATGATTGTTGCCACAAAAAATAAATAAGGATTTCAAAAGACAAAACGATGGTCAAGAATTTCTAAGGGATGACTACACCTGTGCAGCAATTTGGGGAAAATCTGGGTGACAAAGAGCAGCCAAGGGAAAGTGGGAGCTAAGGCTCAAAGACAGGTGTGAAAGTGTAAAAGAGAATTCAAAGAGCCATAGTGATGTTAAAAGAGTTGTGACTTCCAAACTTTTTTGACTATAACCCACGGTAAGAAATATTCTGTATCTCAATCTAGTACCCACTTAGATGCAAAACTGAAAAGCTGTATATAAAGTACTAATATTCATTCATTGTATCAATGCACTCCAAGATTTTGTATCCTGTTCACTATTTTATTCACTATATAAATTCACTATATTTATTTTAGACCCACTGTTTAAATAACACTCCCTGAAGACCCAAGTTTGTTTGCAAACAATCAAATATGGTACCTATATGTGTTTATAAAGACTATGAAAGGGAAACTAGTCAAAACCAATCAGTCTAGGTGCCAGGGTGGCTTGGTCGGTTAAGCGTCTGCCTTCGGTTCAGGTCATGATCCCAGGGTCTGGGATCGAGCCCCGCGAAGGGCTCCCTGCTCAGCGGGGAATCTGCTTCTCCCTCTCCCTCTGCTGCCGCTCTGCCTACTTGTGCTATCTCTCGGTCAAATAAATAAATAAAATCTTTAAAAAAACAAAAAACAAACAAACAAAAAATACCAATCAGTCATTCCAGAAACTTGGAACTTATCTACAGCCTAAACTGTTAAGGGTGGTGTGTAAACATGCTTAACTGCTATCTGAGAAAACACAAATCCAAAGAAACCTACCAGGGCAGGCAGGGCACACTCTGCTGAGCATGGAGTCTACTTGAGACTCTCTCTCTCTCTCCCTCTCCTTGCCCCTCCCTCCTGTCCCCCCTCTCATGTGTACACTCTCTCTCTCTCTAAGAAGAAAAAAAAAAAAGAATAAAAAATAAACCTACCAGGGCAGTAAGATGGCATGATAATGTAACCTAATTAAATGTGTTAAATGTTCATTGTCCTATGAACAATGCTGTCAGAAAAAGGCAATGCACTGGGAAAAAATTTTTTAAGGGGGAATGTGCTGGGAGAGGACAGACTAAACTAGTCAAACCAGATCATTTATTCACTCAACAAGTATTTACTGAGGGCTTTCTATGTGCCAGGGACTACTGACCAAGCAAGACAAACAGGATCCCAGTCCTCACAGAACTTAGAGATTGACAGAGAAAGACATTAAACATAGAATTCAGAAAACAATTACCAATATAATAAAAGACAATGGAGAAGTACAGAGTGCTAGGAGAACATATAAAAGGGAGAACCTAGCCTAACCTAATCTGAAGATCAGGGCAGGAAGCTATAGCTCTTTGGTGTGGGGATGTGGGAGATGGGAATCAGCAGGTCTAGACCTCACATAAACAGCAGTCTACTCCCTGCTTTTCTTTCATTCTTGCCAATTTTCTGAGTAAAAAATAGAGCTTGTCATATAAATTTCTAAAGTAAAAAAAACCAACATGAGTACCAGTGCAGACATACTTCCCATTAAAGATCAATAAATTGAAATACTGGTTTACCTATCTGTCTTTTGAGTCTCATTAAAGAAAATCAATTGCTAGGATCCAATCAACTCTGGATATACTAAGAGCCCGCCAAAATGAGAACCTAACCCCTCGATCCTGCTGATTGCCAGTGAGGTACTGGTTGGATGCTAACTAGCTAATTTCCCTAGAGATCATCTTCTTGGCCTTTTCTAACTGCAAAGGATAGAGCAGGTTTGAGTCCTGGATTCCAGGCCAAGATGGAATTTTTCCTATTAGTAAATAGGAAAGTCTCAAGTAGTAGATGACAAAATGAAATTGGTACTATAGGGCAATGGTGTGGTTGCTGGACTAAACAGAACCACAGAAGTGTCAGGAATCTAGGATGACAGGTTAAATAAGCTGCTAATATGGTGATAGAACCTAAAGGAGGATGAGGGCAGTAAAATGACAAGAAAAGGCCTGTTAGTAGAAAAGAGCCTGAACTAGCAACTGATTGGCACAGGGTACAAAAGAAAGGTATCAAGGGGAGCCTGGCTGGCTCAGTCGGTACAGCATGTGACTCTTGATGTCAGAGTTATGAGTTCAAGCCATACACTGGGTGTAGAGAATCTTAAAAAGAAAAAAGAAAGAAAGGTATCAAACAACTTCTAGGCAAATTTGAAACTTGCCTTACCACAGGTATTTAAAAATTCTGAGAAAGAGCTGACAAAAGTAAATTCTCTTCTTTAACAGTAACAATATATTGAGGCACCTGGGTGGCTCAGTTGGTTAATCGTCCAACTCTTGATTTCAGCTCAGGTCAGGATCTCAGAATCGAGGGACTGAGCCCTGAGTGCACCTCCGCACTCAGCAGGGAGTCGGCTTGGGATTCTCTCTCTCCCTCTACCCCTCCCCCCGCCCCCCCACAGGCATGCACACTCTCAAATAAATAAATCTTTAAAAAAATAGATAAAAGTAACAATATACAACAGAACCTCTGAAGAACCAATAAATTTCTTTGTATTAAACATACTTAGCATTATAAGCTGACTGAGTTATAGAGAAAAATTCTATTTCCCCCCCTTTTATGAAGCTGAGAGGCATCCAGTAACTGGTCAAAAATCTACCAAAAACCCCATGTATCCTGGTATCCTTAGTCTATTATTAACATCAACACAACACATAGTTAATTGCAACAAAGAGTTTTCATTGGTTGGCTAATTTTCATAAATATCTTTCTGTGATTACAAATGAGAAAAGGCTATAAATTCTTCCAAATTACTAAATATGTTTTAACATAAGTGATCTCATTTGAGAAATATATTTTCTTTAATGTTTAGGAATACCTCCAACAAATCACATTCATTCACTCATTTATCATGTACTCGGTACTGGTGAGCTTACAATGCAGTGACAAAACACAGTAATTATATAGTCAGACGTAAGGGTAATATCCAACTTGACAAGTGCTATGAAGGAGAGGTACCCAGGGCAAGAGATTACAGAATCGGGGAATACAACCAAGTCAAGGAGGTCAGGGAAGAGAAGGATTCCTTGAGGAAGTGATCATTAGTTGAAATCTGAAGGATCAAGAATGGAGTTAACTGAAGGGAGGAGGGGAGAACATACATCCAGGAAGAGAGGACAGCACATGGGTTCCCATGGGAAGAGGGAACACTGCCCTCTCAAAGAACTGAAAAAGCCAAGAGCGCTAGAGTACAGGAAATAAGGGTTTGGTAAGGAGGCAACTGGCATAGCAAGCAGGGCTCCCTAACCCATATTAAAGATTTTGGTCTTTGCCCTAAAAGATCAAACAAGATAAAGATTTTTAAAGTCTGAGGTACTTAATGAAATAGAAAAGCACATTTACCTTACTGAAAGCTGTTTAAGAGGATGGGAAGAGACTAGAGTGGGTAGAGCAAGAAAAGGTATGGAAATGGTACCAGTGTATACTGACAAATCTTTTGAAAGGTTTGACTGTGAAGAGAAGCAAAAGGATAGTAACTGGGACATGAGATCAAGATCAAAAGGGGAGGTTAATGGAAAGAAAAGAGAGAGGTGAATATAGGAGAGGGAGGGGATAGTAGGGAGAAGGGCATAAAGGGTGGGAGGAGGGCATAAAGGGTGGGATTTAACTTAGACACAGGGAAACTGGTTAAAAAGGGTATAGATACATGTAGGTTTAAAGTTTTTAGGGTGAAAAAAGAGAGTGCATGCCTACTGGCTCTTATTCTTCTCTATGACTAGGAGGCTGAGGGATCAGTTACAAGTTAAAGTTTTGAGGAGTTGTGGAAAAAGTCTGAAACAGTCTTTTCAGGACAGGGGTGACAAGACTACTGTGAACAGGACAGGGGTGACAAGACTGCCACAGAAAGCCTGCTAACCACTGTCAATGGTTGCTTACTAACAAGCCTGTAGGTCTACTCGGCTGGAATGATACAGGTCACAATACCAGTAAATCACGCAGCTGAAACTCAAGCAAAGGTCTTAGAATCTACAACCTCTATTTTTCCCTGTCCACAACTATAAGATGTTTGTTTGTTTGTTTGAATTGTGGTAAAAACAACAATACAGAATTTGCTATCTTAAACATTTTTAAGTGTAGAGTTCAGTAGTGTTAAGTGCATTCACATTGTTGCACAACAGATGTCCAGAACTTTTTCATCTTGCACAATGGAAACTCTGTACCCATTCATTGAACAACTCTCCATTTCTCCCTTCCCTCAGGCAACCAACATTCTTTGTTTCTGAGTTTGACTACTTTAGGTATCAAATATAAGTGGAATCATTCAGTATTTATCTTTTTCTGACTGGCTTACTTCACTTAGCACAATGTCCTCAAGGTTTATCTATGTTGTAGCATATGACAGGATTTCCTTCCTAAGGCCAAATAATACCCCACTGTATGTATATACTACATTTTGTTTATCCACTCATCCATCTATGGTCCTTTGGGCTGCTACCCTAGGATGTTTAATTAAATATACATATATTCTCCTGACTCAGCTGTGAAAAATGTTTCCTTTCTATGTTATTAATTAAACACTCCTGTCACAAGGCCTTATTATACAATGTATATACTCTTTGCAGTTGTTGGTAACTCCCTTTCCTTGTTCCTTCAATGATTTATGTTTAATGATAGTAACTTGGGATATGTACTAAAGAACAGTATATAACCACACATATAATATGCAAGCCTTGTTTTTAAGATTATATCTGGGTAGGAGACGAGGACAGAAATATTTAGAACATAACTTCATGACCAGCATTCATATATATGAAAATTTGATGTAATAAAACGAATTAGGTTGTGCTTAAGTAGTTTAAACACCTAAAACTGGTTTACAATCATTAGGTGTATAAACTTGGGGATGTTACTTAACTACCCTAAGCCTTTATTTCCCAATCTGTAGACTGGGGTACTTAACAGCAGCTACTCCATAGGTGTACAAAGGGGATTAAATGAGATAATGCAAGTACAACACTTAATCCAATGCCTGGGACATACCAGATGCTCAATAAACATAATCCTTCATCATTATAAAATAATTTGTGAGTGTTCCTGAAATGGGTTGATTTGCAAAATTCAGATTTAGCAACTTTACAAGAATATGAGTCCCGTGGAAAGCAGAACCAGCACTCCCACCCCCCACCCCCCCCAAAAAAAAGACTACATAGAGAAAGGGGGTAAAAAACTGCCCAGTAAATATTACTCTTGAGTGAGATTCTCTACTAACATTTACCACACAGACATGCTCTTTAAATTGAATCTAAGAAGCTAACCGCACCTCATTCTGAGCAGGAATACTCCGTTTTCAAGACCATTCTGCCCTGTGCAGGACTTTTGGCATCTTTGCCCCGCCCATTAGGCGCCAGGAATTGTGACAATCAAAATGCACCCACTCTTTCAAAAGCCTCTGGGAACGGTACCGCCCAAGGTTGAGAATCACCAAAAGAGAACCCACCCCAAATCCTCTAGAGTCCTTCAACTAGCTTCTTGGTTCTACCCTGCCCGGAAGATCTACCACTCCAAAGGCAGAGTATACAGGGACGCGCCACATGCGCAGAGCTCAAGAGTCATCGGCTGAGCCAGTGGCACCGCCTCCCCAGCCACCTTCCAGGTTGCAGGCTTCATAATCAAGGATATTCGCTTCCTACAAGACCGCCCAAAATCCATAAGGGACTGCGCTACCTACTCTGAGGTGCGAGTTTTCAGCCTACGCTTGTAGCTAAAAATTATCTCGGGTCCTCTGGCCTCACTGCCGGAGACTTGTGTATCTTGACGAAATCCGGGCCAAAGACACATCATGGGGTGGGGAGTTGAAGGGACCAAGCTCAGCCCCTGGCTGCAAGAGACTGCACGCCCGGTTCCAATGGACCAAGCCTCCGTGCCTCCACCCCAACTCCAGGGCTAGAGCTGCAGCGCCGACGCGCGCCATTCAAACTGGGGAGGGGTGCGACTCTAGGCCCAGAGCTAGGGAAAAGCAAGCACGATACAGAAGTGAAGGCCTGGATTGCGAGGAGCCTCACAGTCCGGGTCTCTCCCTAAAGAACCAACCATCGCCCTGCCCGACTGTTTCCTTTCTGCCCCGGCCACCCTTACCCGAATTTACCGCCAACAGCGTCGCCATCTTGGAGGCGCATTAACGGAGGCCTCCTGTCGCACGGAAGCCCCAGAAAAGGATGAGGCTGCCCGAAGCCATGCCTGAACGGAAAGGTCCCACCTTGTCTCGGAATGGCACTCTCGACTGACTCAGGCAGACAAAGACTTGAAAATCTGCTGTAGGTCACAGATGTCAATTTTCGCCGCGATATTCTCATTCAAATTAGGCAAGGGCAACCAGCAAGGAGATGCGAGGTCCTCGATATGACGTTAGTCGTGCAGTGCATTCTGGGCCTTGTAGTTTCTATTTAATGATGAGTGAAGTTTAAGGGGAACGATAAGACAACGAGACTAATTATTGAAATTATGGCTATTTATGATATTATAAAAGCCATAAATAAATTGAAGTCATTATCTCCATGTCAAATTAAACCTTCCTTGCATTCCTCTCTGAGGAGTGGAGTGGGGTGTAAGGTATATAAATCCTAAAAAGCCATTTATCAGTTATAAACTAAGTTTTCATTACATTTCAATATACCAAGTGTGTTGCGTCAACATAGTTGCATAGATTGAAACAAATCAAAGTGAAACAAATCATAACTTTTTATTATGACACTTTCATATGTATACAAAAGTAGAATAATGAATGCTCAGCTTCAATCACATGGCCAATTCCTGTACTCCACCCCTAAACTCCAGGGGAGATTATTTTGAAGAAATTTCCAGACATATCATCTCATAAATACCTAATATTTTTCTACCTAAGCACCCCCAAATAGCTGGATTTTTTTTTTTTTTTAGATTTATTTATTTGAAAGAGAGAGAGAGAAAAAGCATGAGTGGGGGGGAGGAGCAGAGGGAGAAGGGGAAGGCAACACCAGGCTGAGCAGGGAACCAACATGGGGCTTGATCCCAGGACCTGGAGATCATGACCCCAGCCAAAGGCAGACCCTTAACTGACTGAGCAACCCAGGGCCCCCAAATAGCTGGATCTTCTTTTTTTAGTTACTAAATTTTAGTTTGCTAATTTTCAAACTAAAATATAAAGAGTCATTACCATTTACTATCATATGCCAGATGTTTATTACAAATTTGACATTATTGGACAATGCAATAATTATTATGTTGTCTCATTTAATCCCTAAAACAACCCTATTAGGAAAATGATGTTAATTATAGCTACTTATCTCAGAGATGTTCCCTGTGCCTTACAATCTCAATTTATCAACTCCAACATTCCACTGAGGTTGGGAGGAGATAAGAGTTTATATTTCTACTTCATTGTTGGAAATCAGAATTACATAATTTAGACACAATCAGAGCAGGCATGTTCATTCTTTTGAACAAACAGTATTGAGTGACACAATGTACATTAGGTGGAACACAGAAGTCTTTGGAGATTTTTTTTGAAAGTCATTGTTTTATAGACACAAATGCCAGACTACCATGAAAGTGGTTTTAAGGAGTGAAGGGGAAGAGAAAATGAAAAGGCAAAGCAACATTTCCTGAAGTTTAGCATGAAAGGGAGAAAAATATTGAGCAGAAACTTGGCAGAGAGTGGCATTTAAAGATTTTCTTTCTCAGGACAACTATTACAAACCCTCCTTCCCTCCACCCCTGCAGGCCCACACACTTCCCTCTCAGCAGATCACTTTGCTTTCTATGAAGGAACACTTAAACTTCCTGCCACTCTCCCTCATCCATTACATTTATAAGGATTCTTTCACAGGTTCCTCAATCCATAGCAATTGAGATATTGCCATCACAACTCCCTTAAAACTGCTCTCAGGATGGTCACTAATGACCAATTGTCAACCCCATCAGCACTTTTCTGAATTTCTTAGAAATTCTTTTCCCCCTTGACTTGTGGTGCACCATCCTTGTTGGTTTTCTAGTTCTTAAGTTTCCTGTATGACTTCTCTTCCTCCTCTCACCCATTAAATGTAGGTCTTTCCTTTGGGTCTCTATTTATTCATTCTACTTGCTTTCTCTAGGAAATCTTACTGCTTCCTATTACCCCCTGTTTGCTAATGAATTCTCTATTTGAATCTCTAGTCCAGTCCTTTCTCCTGGGCTTCAGATTTGCATATCCAGCATGTCTACTCCACATGTCTATTGATCATCACACAGTCATCTCAGAATCACTTAATTAATTAACCCCAAACTTAAATTAGCACTTTCTGGGGCACCTGGGTGGCTCGGTCGGTTAAGCATCTGCCTTCGGCTCGGGTCATGATCCCAGGGTCCTGGGATCGAGCCCCACATCAGGCTCCCTGCTCGTCAGGAAGCCTGCTTCTCCCTCTCCCACTCCCCCTGTTTGTGTTCCCTCTCTTGCTGTGTCTCTCTCTGTCAAATAAATAAATAAATAAATAAATAAATAAATAAATAAATAATAGCACTTTCCTCCTAAAATTCTGCCACCTGTATCCACCCAATTGCCAAAGTCAGAAATCTGGGAGTCATTCTATATGCTTCCTTCAACAGCCAAATCCTACTCATTCTATCTCATAGATATTTCTGGAACCCTTTTTCTTTGCTCTGTTCCCTATGTCATTATTCTCTTCAGGTCAAGCTTCTTTTAACTTGTATTTTGCAATAGCCTCTCATAGGTCTTTTTGATTTCCATCTCATCCTCCTCTCATGGACCCCAAAGTCATTTTTCTTTTTTTTTTTTAGGATTTATTTATTTATCTGAGAGAGAGAGCACATGCGCACACGCATGTGTACGAGTTGGGGGAGAGGCCGAGGGAGAGAATCTCAAGCAGACTCCCCATGCAGGGCTCCATCCCATGACCCATGAGATCATGACTTGAGCCGAAATCACAAGTAGGATGCTTAACAGACTGAGCCACCCAGTTGCCCTCCCAAAGTGATTTCCAAATACACAAATCAGATCCTGTACTTGCCCTGATCAAAATTCATCAATGAGCTCTCACCCAAAAGTAATATTTGAAAACTTCTTAGCAAGGAACTCATGCCACTTCCTGATCTGGTTCAGCCTCCTTCTTCAACCTCCTCACCCTCACTCTTCTCACGCAGTCATCTCTTTTTGCTGATCTTCCTGAACTATTTTCTATTCCCCAAGTACAACATACTTTCTTGTACTGTGTATGAATGAATGTCTTTGCACCTGTTTTTCTATATGCCTGGAATGCCCTTCCATCCCTTCCCTAGCCTATTGACCACCCATGAAATCAACCTCCCAAATATAACCCATCTTCCAAGTCTGAGGGCCTGTGTTAATGCTGCCTCCCTGATGGTATCTTTGATTACTCCAACTAATTCAGGGGATTCTTTCCCTACATCCCTATTGTACTCTTAGCCATCCCTATTACAGCCCTACATACTGTGATGACTGTCTCTCCACTAAAACTGTTAGCTTCTTGTGGTAGACTGTTATTAAAAGGCCCCCAATGAATCACACATCCCTGAATTCAAGCTAGTGTGTAATCATATGCCACACTGAATCTGGGTGGGCCTTATGACTTGCTTGGGCCAAAAAAATGCAGTGGAAATGATGTTGGGCAAGTTCCAAGGACTGAAGAGGCATTGCTGCTTCCGCTTTTCCTCTTTTGGCGCCCTGAACATCACATGAGGAGATCTGAGCTTGCCTCTCTGAAGCTGAAAGACCATGAGGAGAGAAGCCTAGGCAGCCTCCAGCTGTTCCTATTATCCCAGCTGAGATGTCAGATATGAATAAGGCCATCTTGGATCCTCCAGGCCTAGCAGAGCCACCAGTTGACTGCAATTGGGTATGTAAGCCCAGCCCAAATTGCAAAATTGTGAGCAAGTGAACACCTAGTGTTTTAAGCTACAGTTTTGTGGTTTGTTATTCTCAAAAAACAACTGCTTTGGGGCATCTGGATGGCTCAGTCGGTGAAGCGTCCGACTCTTGATTTCGGCTCAGGTCATGATCTCAGGGTTGTGAGATCGAGACCCACATACTGGGAATGGAGCTTGCTTAAGATTCTCTCCCTCCCTCTCCCTCTGCCCCTCCCCCCAAAAACAAACAAAGAAACACAAACAAAAAAACTGATTCACTCCAACAGCAACTCTGTCTTCTTATATTTAAGTTCCCTGCTCCTGCCACATCTCTGGCTTGCAAGTACAATTCAGAAAAAACAGTTTGCAGAGCTTGGGGCTTCCATGATCCACTGAAAGAAAGAGAGATGGAACATATGATTGTGGTTGATGGTTCAGACCCTAGAGCTTGGCTTCCTGGGCTCAAATTCTTTTAGCTGTGAAACCCTCCTTGGTGAATCAGTTTCCACATCTCTAAATGGGGATGATAATATTAGCACCTTCACAGAAGAATTTTTAAGAAACTTTTTGTAGGCACGCCTGGGTGGCTCAGATGGTTAAGCGTCTGTCTTAGGCTCAGGTCATGGTCCGGGGGTCCTGGGATTGAGCCCCACGTCCGGGCTCCCAGCTCAGCGGGGAATCTGCTTCTCCCTCTGCCTCTCCCTCTGCTTGTGCTCTCTCTATGTGTGTGTGTGTCTCTCTCTCAAATGAATAAATTTAAAAAATCTTAAAAAAAAAAGAAGCTTTTTTAAAGTGCTTAGAATGTGCTATATGAATGTTTGTTAAATAAAAATCAATTGTTTCTAAGGCAAAATAAGTGCTAAATGGAGGTATAGTAAATTACTTAAAACTAGTTTAGCCAAAAGTGCACTGCAGGGGCGCCTGGCTGGCTTGGTCGGTAGAACATAAGACTCTTGATCTCAGGGTTGTGAGTTTGACCCCCCACGTTGGGTGTAGAGATTACTTAAAAAAATAAAACCTTAAAAAAAATAAAGTGTACTGCAGGGGCGCCTGGGTGCCTCAGTCTGTTTAAGCGTCTGCCTTCAGCTCAGGTCATGATCCCGGGGTCCTGGGATGGAGCCCTGCTTCAGGTTCCTGGCTCAGCAGGAAATCTGCTTCTCCCTCTCTGTCTGCCCCTCCCCCCTTAAATAAATAAAAAAATCTTTTTAAAAAGTGTACTGCAAATGTGGAAGCATGCAGCAGTTAAACAATGTGTGGTTTCTCTGGGGTCAGGGGTAGGACTCTGCCCCAATCAGATTGAT